GTCAATTGCCATTCAATTCTTCAAATCCTTTTCGAATGTCACCTTCTCTCCATGGTTGACTGACAGTCCCTTGCAGATTTGCTCCTCTTTGGGGCTTCCAGCCAGTCTGCACTTGACCATCAAGATGGTAAATGCTGCTCGTTTCTACTGCAGCATTCATGCTTTAGATTGTGTCCACGTGTTTGCCGTGAGCTCCTTGGGGGCAGGGGCTGTGTCCTCCTCTAATTCCCAGCCCCAGACAGGCTCAGGGAGGCCCTCGCAGACGCTTGCTGGCTGAGGCTGCCTTGTCTGAACTGGAGAGGATATTCCTGCCACAGGAGCAGATCCTCAGCGAAGGGACTCTCCTGCCTCTTTCTGGGGTGGGGGTGGGGGGAGCAGATAAAAGAGAGGCCCAAAGTTCCCACTCTTAGCATGAGAAGAGGGATCCTTTGACCCTCCTCGGGGCAGGAGTGTGGCCAAGGGGGAGGAGCAAGGGATTGGGTCAGGTGCCTTGGGCCCATTTCCCAGGGTGTGGCCAGTTCTCTGGGCTTCAGTTTCCTCATATGTGAAGTGGGAACAACTCTCTCTCCCTCAGGTGGGATTTGGGGAGTTAGAGAAAGCATGGGTGGAACACCTGGCATTGTGGGTCATGAAGGGATGGATGCTGGATTGCTCTTGTTGGGAGGCCAAGGAGGGCAGAGGCCAGAGACAGACAGCTTCTCGCCTATGCTCGCCCAGTAAGCCGCCGAAGGTGGGGAACTGGCTTGCCCCCAATTAGTAATTAGTAGCTGTGGAGCAGGGGCGTTCCAGCTCACAAGAGATGCCCCCGTTGGCCATGGCATGTGGCGAGCTGGCACAGAGGCATGAGCCAGAAGGCAGTCAGAAGTGGCCGGGAGGCATGGAGAAGGGAGGACCGGACTGGGTGAATTCCAGTGGGCATTCTCCAAGGGTGAGGTCACCACCTCTAACTCCCCAGGGCTGCTCGAACCACAGCTCTAGAGCAAGAGGGGTGGTGGCAGGGGTCAGGTCCAGCACATGGGGCTAAATGGACTGGACGGCCCTTAGCCCAGTACAGTGATGGCCCCTCCCGTGGTGGGTCTCTGGTGTCCTTATCTTGGGAAGCCTGGTGTTTCCTGTTTAACACGTAGCTTAGGGCCAGCCTGTGGCTCACTCCGTAGAGTGCGGTGCTGATAACACCAAGGCCACGGGTTCGGATCCTATATAGGGATGGCCGGTTTGCTCACTGGCTGAGCGTGGTGCTGACAACACCAAGTCAAGGGTTAAGATCCCCTTACCGGTCATCTTTTTAAAAAAAAAAAACACGTAGCTTGGAGTACAGAGAAACTGCGGAAGGGGGACAAGCAAAGCAGTTCACACGTCTTGAGACCCTACTAGGTGCCAGGGTGCTCCCACATGCCATGCCATTTAGCCCTCACCATGACCTCATTCTGCAGTGACTGTCACTAGCCCCAATTTGCAGATGGTACAATTGGGGCTCAGAATGATGAAAAACCTTGCCCCAAAGGGAAACCAGTATAGCTACTGGGGAAGGACACAGAGACTTTGGCATCAAACACATCTGAGTTTACTTAGCTCTAACACCTATTCACGCCAAGTTACTTAAGCTCTCTGAACCTCAGTTTCCTCATCTGTAAAGTGATGATAATAATTGCCCCTACATTTTGGAGTTGTTGTGTAGACTCAGAGATGATACGTGTAATGCACACTTAGCGAGTGCTAGCCACCACCATCACCATCCCTATTTCACTGATGTGAAAACAGAGCCTCAGAATGGTGAAGCAGCTTGCATGGGTCACACAACTAGTAGGTGGCACAGGCAAGACTTGAACCCAGATCTGATTATCTGACCCTACTTATACCACTGTGGAGTGGCCAGTGGTGGCTCCCAGCCTCCAAAGGGCTGCAAGGAGGTGGCTGGAGGGGTGAGGCTCCTTGGAATAACCAGTGGCCCAGATTTCCTGCAGAGCTTTGGACCCTCGCCCTGGGGGCAGGGTCAGGGTCACACCTGCAGCTGGTGTTCCAGGCAGCCCAGAGGAACTGCGGCAGCATGCCTGGAAACGTTGTCACGCAGCATCCTGCCCGCCATGGACCCAGCCCCAACATTGTTTTCTGGGCCCTTCCTGGCCCAGGGCCCACACACTAGGGATTTCTGCAGCCTGGCTAGAATCACCTTTACTTTCCAAAGACGCTTTCCCTGGTTTGTCTGGTGGGTGCTGGACCCGGGCCCCTCACTGGGGCAGGGACTGCTGGGAAGTGCCATGGTGGCAGCACTGTCAACATTCTTTTGACCTGACAGGTCCAGGCCCCGGAGTCCACCCTCCTCACTGGTCTCTCCCTAAGCCAAGGGAAGAAAAGACTATGCTTCACTTTCCGTTTAGGGCTGGCTAGAGTCAGGGCATTGGTTTCAAACCCTAGGCCACGTACAAACACTGTGGCATGGGCAAGTCCCCAGTTCCCTGTGACCTCAAGAGGGAGACTGCATGGCCTAGGGTCGCTTCATGCTGCCCTGATGACAGCTCAGGAATGATCTGCAGCCCCTTACTCTGGTGTCTTTGGAGCACAAACTCCTCGAGTGCATGGTCACTTTCCCTCCTCTGTTCTGTGCATTTAAGAGCCGACGTTAGTGACCACACTCATTCCAAATGCTTCTGAGACATGCTAACGCACCTTGATGGTGCCTCAGCCATTCCACTGCCATCCCTCTGTGCTCAGTCTCCCCCGTAAGCTGAAGAGAATGTCCGCCTGGCAGGGTGGAGGTGTGAAGACAGCACAGAAGCCCAGGAGCTGGTGTAAGTGCGCTTCACCCCTGCAGCGCACTTCCAAACACTGATCCACAGCCTGGGAGACCAGAGCACACCCAGGGGGCGACAGTGGTGCCGACCATGCAGAGCCAGCAGCATCCCCGATGAGGTCAGTGCCGTGGAATTAGTCTAACAGGATCACCCTGAGGATTCTGTGCTCACGGTCAGTGACTCACAGCCATGGACAGCCTCGTGGGCACAGACTGCCAACCTGGGACAGCTGAGGCCATGGCCATGGGCTCACCTCGCACGCCCATGCACCCTCTAAGGAGACGGCGCTCAGGGCACTGCAGAGGCCCTGCCCCTGGCCCGAGGCCTCTGCCAGCCCTTCTCCTCACCTACCTGGGGCAGAGAGGTCAGACCCCACTGGGTTCAAATTTGGCATCATCACTTTTTTAGACATGACCTTGGGCAAGTCAATTTCTCTGAACCGGTTTTTTCACTTACAATATGGAAATAATACTTGCCTCATAAGAGTGGAATTAAATGAGGTAATGTGTGTAGGAAGTGTTTGGTAAACGGCACCTTTTAAGGAGTGGGTAGAGGGGGAAGGCCCGGGCTTGAGTCAGGGCACCCCGGCTCTGAGTTCTGGCCCACCCCTTACTCCCTGGATGTCTCTGAAAGTTACTCAACCTCTGATCCGCTCCTCTTGTGTAAAATGAACCGACACTACCTGCCTTGTCGGTTTGCTATGAGATTAAGATCACACATTTTATCAGATGACAGGCGGCAGCAGTGAGCTTAGGAGCAGGGCCTCGAATCCCAGTTCAGGCACTTAGGGCTTCATGACCTTGGCCACGCTCCATAACCCAAGTGGGTCCCTGCCTTGTCGGTTTGCTATGAGATTAAGATCACACATTTTATCAGATGACAGGCGGCAGCAGTGAACTTAGGAGCAGGGCCTTGAATCCCAGTTCAGGCACTTAGGGCTTCATGACCTTGGCCACGCTCCATAACCCAAGTGGGTCTCCCATGGAACCCGGGAGTGATGATGCTAAGGGCTCCCTGTGGGTCTGCCGTGAGGCAGATGCGGAGAACAGCGCCTGGCATCCAGGAGGCGCTCTCTGGGCACCGGCTGTTACTGTTTGTCTCACTCATAGCTCTTGGCCGTTGCAGAACGTTCACTAGATGAGCTTTTTTTTCCTGCTAATGCCAGTTGCTGGTTTTGTCTTGTCTCCATATGCCTTTGACAGATCCTGGGCCTGTGGGCTTTCAGAAGCTAGCCCCCCTTTCCAGCATCAATCATGGCAGCCTTCCCAAGCAGACCTTGGGTGCACCCCTCAAAACCTTGGGCAGTTCTAACAGGAACAGTGAGCCACTGTGGACAATATACATATCTGCAGACACAGCATCCCTGGGGCCAAAGGGCAGCGTGTCAGGATACCCCTGTTGCCAAGCACCCGAGGCTCACAGGAAGCTGGCATCACATCTGGGCAACTGAGCCTAAGTGGCAGCTTGGCCCTGGGAGGGGGACAGAGGCAAGGCTTTCGTGGCTGGCAAGCCCGGTTCACTTGGCACACTCCTCTGTGGCCAAGGGGAGCTGGGGACCAGCTCCTGCAGGCACAGCAGGGAAGATGGCACAGCCCCTCAGGAGTCAGGCAGTGAAGGAGGCCCTGGAGGGATTAAGGGGATCAGTTCTAATGAGCTCAGGTTTCAGAGGCAACCAAGTCTGGGCAGAACACCCAGCTCTGCACCCCATGAGCCTCAGTGTCCTCATCTGTGTAACAGGGACAACACCCTCTTGCCTTACAAGGGCACGAAGACCATGCATGTGAAGGTGTCCCCAGAATAGCAGATGCCACTGATAGAACATTAGTAACAGGAGGGGCTGGTTAAAGGGCAGAGGGTGGTGAGAGTCAGAGGGAACGGGGATAGGGGCTGAGCCTGGACAAGGGTCACAAGTGCTCTCAGAGTTCAGACAGAATGGAAACTGTTGACAGCGTAAACCCTAGTTTTATTGGTGTGATTTGTTCACAGTTAAGCCTCCCGCTCAGAGAACCAAAGGGCTGGCTAGTGGTGACAGAGGTGGCATCTGGAGCCTTCCAGTCAGGGATCTCCAGGGTCCCCAAACTCAACACTTGTCTTTTGCCCTTGCACCTGGGAGGGAAAAAAAAGGAGGCAGCTCTCTGAGGGGTGGGCCGGGGGTGGCTATAGGGGATTTTAGTGCGGGGCGCAGGGTCTGTTCTTCACAGCAGGAGGTAGAAAGGAACACATAAAGTTCTTTATTACAGACCTACAAAGAATGAGAGAATTATATATTACTCTCACTTATTGGGATTTCTTTTTTTTCTTTTTATAAAACAGCAGCAGGAAGGAAAAATGCAGGAGGCAGAAGAGCTGGGCACGGGGTTCAGATCAGAAAAGACCAGGGACCAATGTGTGGCTGCCCAAGCAGTGACACCTGCAGGTGGGCCTGGGCTCTCTCCAGGCATCTTGCGAGAACAGCAACGAGCCCTAGAAGGAGCAGACAAAAGGGCAGTGGGAGGAAAAACGCTGTCCCAGGTCAGCAGCAGCACTGTTCCTCCGATGGCCACCCTGGGCAGTCAGCCAGTGCAGAAGCACTAGTGGCTCCCACGTTTGGAGGCTGGTCTCCAAAGCAGGATCCCACAGGGCCCAGACAGAAGAAAGGAGGCAGGAAGGGCTTGCAGAGAAGGGCTGTGAGTTCTACTGGGGTCCCAGGTGGACAGGGGCAATCAGGATCCTTCCCTCCTTGTCAGCCAATCAGCTTCTTCAAGAAGGCCTCCAGTTGGTCCTCGTCCTTGATGCCCACAAACTTGTCTACCACATCCCCATTCTTGATGGCCAGTACGGTAGGCACAGCTGACACCTGGGTGGAGGGGACAAGGGAGGCCAAGTCACTCGGAGATGAACTCTTCTCAATTGTCATGCCCTAGCCTTTGTGGAAAAGGCTGGTGGCTTATCCAGGGCAGCGACTGCCCACAGCCATGGGTGGGGCTAAGGGAGAGTGGCTCTTCCTTTGTGCAAGCACACTGCAGGGCCTGAGGCCCCCCTGCTGGAGAAACTCCTTCCTTTGTGGGCTCCCAGCAGTACCCTTCCTCCCTCAACCACACGACTGAGTCACTGGCCCAGTGGTTTGGCTGGAATGACAGGAGAAATGAAAATAACCCATGCAGCTGCAGGCCAGGGCTGGGGTGGGGAGGAGCTGCAGGACAGCCTGGCACAGGGGCAAGGTAGGAGATTGGGGAAAGTCTGAATCCCGGCCCTGACACTCACTAGCCAGGGGGCCTGGGCCAGGTCCTGCCACCTTTCTGAGTCTGTGTCCTCTTCTATAAAACGGGGATAGTAATGTCTACCTTGAGGGTTTGGGATAGGAATTAAAGGTAGGCACATAAAGCTTAGTGGTCAGGGTCTCAGGCTTTGGAGCTGGCTGACCTGATGCAGCTCCTACCAGCTGGTGAACCGGGCAAGCCTCTTCATTGCTCTATGTCTCAGTGTTCACATCGCAAGACGGAGATGCCAATGCTACTTATATTAGAGGGTGTGAAGTGGGAGGAACTGATGCAAGTTAAGTCCCAGCACAGAGCCCAGAAATAAGTGTAAGAACCTGGCGCTGTGCCTGGTACAGTGGGCACTCAGCAAACGGCGGTATGGAGGGCAGTCGGGAAAGCCTAACAGAGCCCTGCAAGCCACTTCAGCTGCTGCCGTGAATGCCAACAGCGTCCAGAAATCCACTGACTCCTGCTGGATGGCGCGGGAGGAGGGGCTCGGCTATATATGATCTGACGCTCATTTATGGGCAAGGCAAGGTTCTCAGTCTTTGAAGCATTTGCTCAGCTCCTTCCGGGACCTGGATAGATGACATGGAATGCAGATGAGGCTGAGGACTGCACTGGCACCGTAAATTCTCTGCTGCCTGGGCTCCCTGCCTGGCATTCCTGCACATTTGAGAAAACTGTATAAACAGTACAAGATAAACACCAACTTTTCTTCACACAAGTTAACAAAGCCACCAGGGCAATTTACACCAACACACCAGGTCTTTACATATTCTGAGTGCTGCCCTGGCCGTGAGTCACCTTGAGAAGGCGGACTAAAGATTTAGAACAAACAGTACAAGATAAACACCAACTTTTCTTCACACAAGTTAACTAACAAAGCCACCAGGGCAATTTACACCAACACACCAGGTCTTCACATATTCTGAGTGCTGCCCTGGCCGTGAGTCACCTTGAGAAGGCGGACTAAAGATTTAGAATGTTCAAAAACTGTGCACATTAGTCACAAAAGGAAGAAAGAACCGCATACAGACGGCCCAATCACATAGCCCTCACTCAGTAACATGTGGCAGGCCCCACACTGTGCTCCTACTGGGCACCTTGGGGACAGACACAGCAGGTAAGATGACACAGGCCTTGTTAGACCTCAGGCCCCTTTGAGGACTTTCCTGGGGCCGATGGTGGCAGTAGACACGCTTTCCTGAGGGTATGTACTGGTAGGACCACCAGGCATTAGGCTGGCATGCGTGTCACTGCTCCCGGTCCCTCCACTGGCTCCTGTCCTTGTCAGACTTGCATGCATGATGGCATGAAGTGCCAGGGGTCAGTGGGTGGCTCGCCCTGATTCCAGGCAGAGGCAGGACCTAGAAGCTTGCTCTAGGACTCAGCAGAGCCTGAAGCCACCAGGGCCTTCACAGGCTGTTCTTTTGCGCCCTCTAGCGGTCTGTGAACGCAGCTGGGGCATCTCAGAGCTGGCAACGCTCAACTGGGGCACAAAGCTCAACCGCTGTCTTTCAAGGACACTGTCCTGTTCTGTTTCTTTAATTAAAATAAATGCTTTATGCCACCATTGTATAAGTGGTCGAACTTTTCTCACAGGAAGGTGGCCTAGAGAGTGGACTTGGTTTTCCTCAAGAGCTCCAGATGAAGTCCAGCCTGATCTCATTTGTGTAAACTCTCACACGTTTAGACACGTAGGGACCACGCTGGTGTCAGCTGTATGGCAGACAGGCTGTGAAGAGACTTTCCTGATATATGGATTCTTTGAAATCTGAACTTACACACACACACACAGACACACACACACACACACAGAGGGATACCTGGGCTGTGACTGGACTTCCCCCACCCCCAAGGAGGAAGATGTGGCTTTGCTAGCCCTGAGTGTGGCTCACAAATCAGGAGGGGCTGGAGCTTGTAAACTGCCTTAAATGGAAGTGCATAGGTCCTTGGCACATTCTTCTAGAATGGTGACATGGGTGTGAAAGGCTGAAATGAAGCAAGAACTCAGCTTCTTTCTCAATTCTGGCAGGACTGAGGAACCAAGGGGCTGGAGAACAGATGTGCTCAGATGTGCTGCATATCCTCCTCCTCCGTGAAGCCACCCAGACCCCCCATCCTTGGCTAAAGATCCCGAGAATTCAGGGCAGGAGCCACTAATCCGCAGCTCACCAGCAACACCCACTGAGTTCAATGTCTGGGTCAGGTCTTCTCTCTCACCCTAATTTCATCCATTTGTTAACTCTGCTAAGGACAGGCACAGTGCTAGGTGCCAGCTAACTGCTGAACTAACACAAAGGAAAAGATCACTTTCATGTACTGGGTGCTTCTGAAGTGTCAAGGATGATACTAAACACTTGCATATGCAATGTCGTAACTTCTTGCCTCTATGTAGGGTCATTTTAGTGATGAGAAGACTGAGGCTCAAAGGTTGAGTAACTGCTCCAAGTTGACAGAGCAAGTTAAGTGGTGGAGCTGGGATTTGAAACAAGACATGTTTGAGTTCACTGTCCATCAAGCTATGCTGTGCATCTGCCCAAGAACAAAGAATTGGAGATAAGCATTGAGTGAAGAATATGTGGGGAAGTATTCAAAGGATTTCAAATGAGAAATGTCAAATGTTTTGTAAAAGCTCTTGGATATAAGGGTTCGTTCTTGGAAAAACTACTTTAAAAAAATCAAACCCAGGGCCGAGCCCGTGGCGCACTTGGGAGAGTGCGGCGCTGGGAGCGCAGCAGCGCTCCCGCCGTGGGTTCGGATCCTATATGGGGATGACCGGTGCGCTCACAGAGCTCACTGGCTGAGCGCGGTGCGGCCGGTCTCAAAAAGGACAAAAAAAAAAAAAAAAAAAAATCAAACCCAACTCTATGACATTCTGGAAAAAGCAAAACTACAGAGATAGTAAAAAGATCAGTGGTTGTCAGGGGTTGGGGGAGGGAGGGATGAATAGGTGGAGCACGGAGGGTTTTTAGGGCAGTGAAAAATACTCTGTATGACACTGTGATGGTGACTATGTGCCATTATACATGTGCAAAGAACACACAACACTAAGAGCGAACCCCAATGTCAACGATGGACTTTGGGTGACAATGATGTGCCAATGCAAGCTCCTCAACTACAACAAATGCACCACTCTGGTGGGTGATGTTGATAATGGGGGAGGCTATGCATGTGTGGAGCAGGGACTATATGGGATATCTCTGTACTTTACTCTCAATTTTGCTGCGAACCTAAAACTGCACTAAAAAAAATAAATCTTAAAAAAAAAACGTCGGTAGGGTTCAATGGGAGTGAGACAAAGGAGAGATGAACGGATGGAGTACAGGGGACCTTTAGAGCAGTGACACTGTTCTGAATGATGTTGTAATGGTGGACACATCACTATACATTTGTTGAGTAAACTCTGACAAGCAGCCCGTGCTGAGAATCGCAGGTGAGAAAGGGGCTTTACGAAAGCAGCACCTTTCCTAAAAAGTCAGCACTGGGCTTTAGAACTTTGTTTCTCCATGTTTTGTCTAGGACCCTCAGCACTGGTATCACCTGGGAACTTGCTAGAAATGCAGAGTCTTGTACCTAAATACATCATAGTCTGCTTTGTAACAATATCCTAGGTCATATTCATGTTTGAGAAGCACTTATTTAGAATACTTTCAAAACAGCAGGACAGGGAGTGACTAAAATACTGCACATTTCAGCTATGAAATATTATTCATTTAATAAATTGTCTGCAGGGTTATACGGAACATTAAAAAGAAAAAAAATTCAAATAAAACACTCAAACAAGTTACCACAATGGTGACAATGGTTGTTTGAATAGTCAGATTGCAAGTGACTTTCCCTGCTTATTACCACTTGGCTGTATTTTCAAATGCTTCTTAAAGGGCACTCACTTCTTCTATAAGATGAGAAAATAAAAGTATAACAGCTCTAGGTGTGAGGTCAGAAGGAGAAGCCCCAGAGGAAAGCATAAAGGCTCAAGGTCCACACCTAGTCCACTCTCTCACTGCCTTTCCCCCAGTAGCTGGCAAGGTCTGAGCAGTTGGTAAAGGGACAGGGGACAGGGGAGAGCTTCGTGTCCTGCCAAGCCAGGGTAGCACCAAGACTGAAGAAGGAGGGGGTGGAGGGGCTGAAACCCCAAGGTCCTGAAGGACTTTCTTCCCCTCTCCCTTGGGGGACAGTGAAGTTCTAGGGTGGGGGGTTGTTTGAAGCATAAAGTGGTTGTTGGAGGGGAGGAATTCCTGTGAGGAATGAGACTCACCCAAGTGTGTGTGCTGGGGGTCGGGTGTCAGGAGGGCTTGGGGAGAGGCGCCCAATATCCTGAACATAATTTAAAACAGTTTCTCCAACAAGTTCATCTAATCATTTGAAAAAAGAGTTGAGGCTTTGGAGGAAGCTGTCCTGAGGGTAGCACGGCTCTCTTGGCGGAAACTTCTTCCTTAGGTGCTCTTCAGAGAGAACAGGTGCAAAGGAAGGAAGGCAGGAAGGGCAGGGGGAGGAGTCAGGAAGAATCCCTGCTGGAGCTTCCTAAGCCCTGCAGTGATGTCAGCCCAGGGCTTGGCAAAACATGGAGGCGAGACCAGGTGATGTTGGCCCAGCAACTTTGGAGTCCTTCTGTGTGACCAGAGCACCACCAAGACAGTGGACCAAGGGAGGAGGAGGGAGAGAATATCCTACAAGAGGAACTGCCCCTCACTTTCCAGGCTTAACCACAGGGCTCCCTCCCACATCATAAGGCTCCTTGGAAAGCAGGTGGGGATGGTCCCGGGAATTCCAAGTACCCTCAGGGACCACTGCTGGCAGGAACTGCATTCACCTCTGTGTCTGTACCAGTTCCTGCAGTCCCTGGCACATGGCCGGCCCTCAGGAGGTATCTGCTGAAAAGTTACATTGATGGAGGACTACCCTCAGGGACCACTGCTGGCAGGAACTGCATTCACCTCTGTGTCTGTACCAGTTCCTACAGTCCCTGGCACATGGCCGGCCCTCAGGAGGTATCTGCTGAAAAGTTACATTGATGGAGGATGAAGCAGTGGTGTTGGCAGTGCTAGGAGGATGCCTGAGACAACTTAAGACTGCCCAGGGCCCTGTGGGAGGCCCTAGGAGCTCCAGCCTTAAGCTCACACCAGAGGACCACACCCTTACCCCTGCAGCTGCTATGAGCCCTGCAGTGAGGGGTGGACTAGTAGGGGAAATCCAAGGGCCTCTAAATGGTCAGACAAATGCCCCTTGACTGAACAATCAGTGGGAGAGCTTTCAAAAAACAGTGACTCATCCCCGCCCCAGGCCCTAGTAAGCATTCCCCCAAGTCGCAAGGCTGGCCTCACTTCAGCAGCCACCTGCAGGAGGCATTGGGGGGCTTCATCTGTCCAGCACCTGCTTCCTCCGCTCCTGGATGGCACAGACAGCCTGTTCTCACCCCGACCCCCACCCATTTCCTGCCATGGGGGACTGGCTGAAGGATGGGCACCTCTACCCACGCTGGTCTAGTGGGAGATCGGCCTGGATTCCAAACTCTGAGGAAGAAAACGGTTCCCTCTTTCAGTTACTTGTTACCCAGAGGAGCAGGACGGAAAGGTGAGGGCTCACTCTGACCAGACCAAGATATTTCAAGAAAACCAGATGTCTGGATTTTCATATGAAATCTTCTGAGTTTTAAGTATCAGCACCTGGTGTGATATTTCTTTAAAACACTTTGAGGGCCAGACCAAACATGTCTGTGAGCCAGAATTGGCCATGGGCTGCCAGGTGCGACCTTGGCTCTGTGGTAACGCTATCTTCAGCATGGCTATCCAAAGACCCCTCCCGATTTGGTCCCAGTCTGCTTTCCCAGCTGCCTGTCCTCCCCCTCCTTGCTCAACCCTTTATTCCAGCCACCCAACGACAATGGGCCTCTCTGCTTTCTCTAACTGCAGTGGTCTCCAAGGCCCAGGGGATGCCCCATATCCCAGGCACCTCCTCTGCAGGCTCACGGGACCCTGCTGCTCTGTGAACAAAAGCCAGGCTCACCCAGACTGAGCCCAGGGCCTTTGCGTTTGGTGTCTGCTCTGCCTGGACGGCTCTTCAAAGGCCTGCACACCTCACTCCCCACTCCCGTCAAGTCTTTGCTCAAATGTCAGCTTGTCAGAGACGCCTTCCCCAGCCTATCTTTTTAAAAAAGCCCCACCCTCATCCTCAGCACTCCCACCCCCTCTTCCTGACTTATTTTTCTCAATAGCACTTACTATCTAAAACAGGAGACATCCTGCTATGGCCCACATGGCACATCCTGCCCAATGACTGCTTTTATAAATAAAGTTTTATTGGAACACAGCCATGTCCATTCATGTGTGTACTGTCTGTAGCTGCTTTTGTGCTACAACAACAGTTCCAATGGTTGCAGCAGGACCACTGCTCTGCAAAGCCTCAAATATTTAGCATTGATCCTTTTGAGAAAAAGTCTGCTGATCCCTGATTGAAAATACCAGAATGTAGGCTCCATGAAGGCAGGGATTTTGTTAGTTTTGCTCACTGCCATATCCTCAGCACCAAGTAACAGAACCTAGCATTTGAGAGTCTCTCAATAAATATCTGTTGAATGAAGGCACAAATAACTCACCATATTAGACTACTTCATGTCTTCGTGCATGCTGTTCCCACAGTACTTCCTTCTACACATAACCTTCACGGCTTAGCTCAGAAGGTCCCTGAGCATTCTCTGTCCCCTCTACCTCCCTCCGGGAACAACCAGTCCCTTCTTCGTGTGTCTCTTGTCTCAGCACTTTTCACCCAAATGAAATGATCTGTCTACCAGCTCTCCTCTCCTGCCGGACTAAGAGTGGCTTGGAGACTAGGATGTCATTCTATTGAGCCAGAATCATGAATGCCTGGCACAAAATAGGGCTCACAAATGACTGCTGACTGCACATGTGGATGGATGAATAAATGAAAGATCTGATGTTTTGGGTCATATGAGTACATTCTGCTCCCTGGAGATGGTGGAGAAGAGAGACAAGTGGCTCAGAAAATCAACAGAGTCACATCTGCAAAGTTCTCTGAGCTCCTCAGCACTCTAGAAAAAACCAAGATACTTCCCTTACTGGCTATCTGGTGGTCCCCAAGATGCCTCCTACACTAGCTGCCCTGGATCCTACAACATCTTCCACACTGGCTGCCCTGTGTTAACTCCCTGCCAATCCATACCTCATACTCGATGGCGAGGTCTGTGTGGTCGTCAATATCCACCTTGGCCATCACCACCTTCCCGTGCTGTTTGGCCACCATCTTCTCCAACCTTGGCCCCAGGATCTTGCAGGGGCCACACCACCTGGGAAGGTGAGAAAGCAAGCATGCAGTCAGTCCAAGAGTGCTCACCATTCCATTACTGTCTCCCCAGAACCTCCCCCAGACCCACACCTTTCTGAGGAACCTTTTGTCCTTACTACCTGTTTACAGTGTTTGAATATTAACCTGTAATGCTGACAAACCAATCGGTAATGTTGGGATACGCTACAACTGGGAAATTTTCACGTGTCCCGGACTTCTAAAACACAGGCCTCATCGAAAGACTCTTGTATGGTGATCTCATTTATTTCAATATATCTCAGAGAAATATACTGTCATATAGAGGAATATGGGATTTTAAGTTAAAAGGTTTAGATTCAAAGACAGGCTCCTCACCAATCAGCTGATTGTTCTGGGGCCTCAGTTTTCTCATTTGAAAAAGAGAGACTATGCCTCTCAAAAGTGTTATGAGAAATCAACTAAGACAATTTGGGTAAACATGCTTTGGAAGCTGTAGAGTTATTTCAAATGCCATGTGGACTCAGAACTAAAAGGAGGGGAAACTAATGGCTAGGAGCATCTACAACGTGCCAGTCACTGAGCTAGCACCTTCTCAGCTATTACTGCACAGAGCCTTTAACTCTGAAAAAGAAGAGAAAGCATCTTCCAAAGAAACTGAGGCCCATATGAGTTAAGAAACTTGTGCACAATTACAAAGCTAGTAAGAAGCACAGCGGGGACTGCAACCTCTGTTCCAAGTGTCTTCTTTCACCCACAGGTTATGCTGTGATCCCACAGACCCTGTATCAACTGCTCACTGCCCTGATCACACTGCACTGACCATAGGTGTTCTCATCTCGGTGGGGAGCTCTTCTAGGACAGGAGTTACGCCGTCATCTCTATGTATGTGACACCAAGGAAAGTGCCTGGCACTGAATGAACAAACTCACACCCTGCTTCCTTGCTGAAGAAAATGAGGCATTACCTCATTTATCATTCATTTCGGAGGCCCTTACTGAAGTGTTCACCACACCAGGAGGGCAGACCAGCTCTGCTTTCCACAAACCCCTGGCTGACGACTCCTATTTTATTCTCAGCCTTTAAATCTCCTTCCATTCAGAGATTTCAGTCAACAACTCACACCGCCTAAAAACCCAGTTTGCAAAACCTTATCTCCTATTATAAGTAAAGAAGGGAGCACAAGGATATCAAATGGCCTGCACAAGGCTACATGATAAGCCAGAGAAAGAACTAGAAAGAAAGCAAAAAAATCTGTCAGACACTTGCCCAGAAGCCCTTCCAATTTCTAACTCGGGTGACACTGGCTTCTCCCAGGATGCCTAATTCTGAAGTGTTTGTCCAGCTTTTTTGTAGCTAGGCATCTAGCCAGGCCCCAAAGGTCTGGAAACAAAGAAGGCCAGGCTAAAAATCAGAAGGTCACAGGCATTTTGCTATCTCTAAAACAAACTCATATAGCACTGAAAGGAAACTCTTGCCCATCCCCTGCATGCCTGGGCACCACTGTGGTGGCACTGATAACTTTTTGCCAGCCCTTCCCACAGCTCTGTCGGCGAGATGTTAAAATAAAATCAACTTTGCAGGGTTAGTAAATGGTATACACAGAAAGCCAGACGATGCTATAGTCATAACTTTCTGACTTTTTTTTTAAGCGAAAGATGACTTTGAGCTTTTCAGACAGTGAGATTCAGAATATAAGCATTTCCCAGCACTAATCATGATCAGCTTTGAAGACTGTTTACTAGTCTGTCTCCTACCAGACCGCCCTCTCCTTGAGAGCAGGAACTGAGTCTTACTAGTCTTTGTAATGTGTCTGTGTATGAAAGGCATCAAACATGGTACTGGGACTTAGCAGGCACTCAATACATACTTGAACCTAGAAGAGCCTAGTCTTCTTCTGATCCCCAATACTCACTGTGCGTGGAAATCCACAACCACTGGCGTCTCACTGTTGACAACTCGGTCTTGAAAGTCAGGTCCATCTTGAACGTTAAAGGTTGTTGTACAGACTCTGGTGGTGTATATTGTCCGGGCTGGGCTGGGTATTACTGTCAGGCTATTGGGACTGCACTGTGGGGTCTGCAGAACCCTGGAGGTGAGGGGTATCCACTGACCCTGAGGGGGCTCCCTGGAGATGACAGAGGCCAGGAACCTCCTCAGCAGAAGTCGCTGAGCCATCTGCGAGGGAAAGAGACAAGAAGAGTTGAGACACAAAAAAGGAAGTCAGTGCACCAGAAAAAAAAAAAAAAAAAAGAATTTGGGAAAACTGAGGGACTCAAGAAGATGCAGAGCTGGAAGCAATGTGCAAGGAAAGAATATATAACATTACTGGAGTAGAGGTGAGCGAGGAATGAGAATCAAAGGGAAGAAGGAATGGCTACGCAAACCAGGATAGGAAAGTTGGGTTGACAACCAAAAAGTAACCAGGATTTGGGTGGAGAGATGGAAGGGAGAAATCAGTATTTACAGAGCACCTGGCTGAGGGCCAAGTGCCTTACATAGATTATTGGTCCTCCCAGATCAACTCTGAGGAAGCTGCCATAGTACTGCCCGTGTTACAGATAAGGAACCTGAGGCTCAGGTAGGTTAAGTGGCATGCCCAAAGTAACCCAACTATGAAATGACGGTCAACAATGGCACCCACAGCCGTCTACAAAACCTTCCTCCATCGATTGCTCTGTTATAAAAAATGTTTTAATGGGAAATTCTGGAGGAAAAAGGGGGCTGTCGAAGGATCAGGAAAGGGGAATCACAACAATTCAAGAAGGAACTAAGAGGCACAGGAACAGGAGTGTGGCAGGAACCAAGAAACAGTAACATTTGTATGGAGGGCACCAAAAAAGAAGGGACGTGTGTGTAGGGAACTGGGGAAATGGACGCCACCAGGGACCCCGGCTTTCCGGAGGGCCAGGCCCCCCGCCTGCGGCCTCAGCCCGCTAGGCCGCCAGCCTGCGAAGGACGCACCCGCAGCGTGCCCCGGTCGCGACACCACTTCGAGCCACCCCGCGGACCTCCTACCTCCCTGCAGCACGAACGGAGGGACGCCCAGCGCAGCCCTCCCCGCCCGTCAAGGGCACGCCCGCCGTCACTTCCTCAGGGGAGGGAGGCCTTAGCGTCACTTCCGGGGGCAGGCGACCAGGAGCGGGTCTCTCCGCAACCTGAGGGGCGGGACGGGTTTTTCGCCAATGCGGATGGCGGGAGAAGGAGCAGCTGAAGGGGTGGAGCCTCGGTTAGGGATGGGGAGGCGGGCGGGCCCTCGGGTTGGTGGGACGGACAGGAAGAAGTGGGCGGGCCCTGGGAAAGGAACCGGAAAAGGAGGTGAAAGGAGGCAGGGGCGTGCGGGAGGCGTGGCTGTGTGCTTCGCAAGCGCCTGCTGCTTTGCTGCTCAGCCGGCACCGCCCACCTCCCTAGCGCGTCTCCCAACGACCCCAGGAGGTGCTGGGAGGTTCTTTCTCTCCATTTTACAAATGAGGAAGCAAAGCTCCTCAGAGGCGTAGAGCCCTGTAGAGGCAGATGACTCTGCCCGGCGTCAAGATACTGCTTTGTGGCCCTGTCTTACGCAGAACTGTATGACTTCATGGTTTTGAGCAAGTCGTTCTGCCCCTGGGGGTTTAAGTTTCCCATTATGTGTCATGACTGGCCGGGCTTGTCGTTCTCCCAGACCTTTCAAGCTTGTCTCTTTAGAGTTGTTGGGGAACTGGGCCCTCGAAGGGCCTGTGTTTGAGGCAGCAGGCAAGGTGAGGTGACTTGTGATGCTGCGTGGGCCAGGGACCTTCCTTTCACACCCATTTCCACCGTCATAAACAGAGGTCTAGGCACATGTGTGTCCCAGACTGGTGTCACAGCCACCTCTTGTCTCCTCTGCACCATGTACCTTATATTCCAGCCACTCATGGGCCTCTTAGAATTCTATGAGCACCCCCTTTCCTCTTCCACGCCTTTGCTTAATTTGAAATGTTTTTTCTCTCTCCACTTAGTAGAACACCTACTCATCACCTCTTCTCTGAGCAGCATTACTCCCTTCTTAGTGCTTTGTTTGTAACTCTTCATAACGCATTGCGGTGTCTATCGCTTCCACAAGGCAGTGTGCTTCCTGAGAGTAGGGATTTGTGGCTTTTATTCATCTCCGCATGCACAGCACCAACCTGGTACAGTGCCTGGCTCACAGAGGATGTTCGATAGGTGCCTATTAAACTGAGTATCTTTGGTAGCTCAGGGAGTGGTTTACAAAGAGGTTACATGACTTGTGCAATGTCAAGAAGCAGATCTAACACCTCCGTTTCAACCTACATTCCAGCCAGAGAAAATTCCTTAGTTCCAGGGTTTGCTGAAATGTCTTTCCCGTCCTTGTGTTTGCAGTTACTTCTGCCTGTGACTGGATGGCTTTACCCTCTACTCTCCAGCTGAGAAAATGCTCCTAGATACCAGACTAGGCATCATCTCTGGTGATCCTTCCCTGGGCCTCCTTGAGTAGGGGTATGTGTCCTCTGTGCTTCTATCAGTCACCACACTCAGTACTCTGTATTGTTATTGTCTGTTTATTATACTGTCAGTCCTTACTATACTGTTAGTCCCTGAGAGTCTCTGTCTCTCCATTACTTACCTCAGGGCTTGATGCATCATAGAAGGTCCTCAGTGATTATTTGTTCCATGAACAGAGAGCAGCAACACAAATACAATCTTTTGACTGCAAATCCCATTTTCCCCATCACTTCAGATGGACCCATTGTGCTCTTCCAAAACCACTGCCATGTCTTCTTCCAGCTCATCTTGGCTCTGTCATGCTGTTATTTGTCCTCTGTCCAATTGGCAGGTTCACAGTGTTGTTCAGGGCTCTTCCTCTGGGATAGGGTGGGGAAATTCTTGGAACAGGTCCACTTGCCCATGGCCACCAGCTGCCATGTCAGCCTCCCACTTAGTAGAGCCCTTTGTGCATCACAGGCAGGAGTCTAGGTAAGGGCATGCATGGATAGGCATGGCCTTTCAACCATGTCTGACCTCTTGCCTTAGCCTCTGCCCCCGCCTAGGACTGGAGCCCAGAGTTCAGTATCCCTGGCTCCCCCTAAGGGCAGCCTCCCTCGGTGCAGCTGTTCCTGATAATGCCATATGCCATCTGGCAGGAGTACACCCACCTGCCCATTTCATATCTGCTTTTCTGTGTCTCCAGCACTTTCTCTTCTGCAGCCACTTATCAATCCTGTTCAGCATTTCCACAGCATTTTATGGAGAGCCAATTTCCCTGCTTAATTCACATTCTGAATTCCAAAGGAAAACCAGTCTTGTTAATCCTTATTTCTTAGTCACTTCACCTCTCTTGGCCTCAGACTTCTCATCTGAGAAATGGGAAGAATAACGCCTTCATAGAGGGGCTGTGAGGTTGCAGGAAAGATGGAAACTACGTTGTGTGTTAGTGCCTCATGACTGCTGGAATCCTTCTCTTCTGCAGAGAGAGAGCCTGTGAACCACATGGAGAAGGCTGAGTTCTCAGCAGCCTACAGAGGGGCTCCTCAGCTATGTGGTTGCTTCTCTGGGTCTATCTCAGTCACAAGGCAGGCTCAGGGCACATGTGTGAGATGAAGGGAAGGAGGCCAGGCCTAACCCCCTGGGCTAAGGATACCTCTTACCAATATTTATAGCTGTGTTTTTCAGACTGCAGGATGTGAGCTATCAGTGAGGTTGTGAAATCAATTAGTGGGTTGTGATCAGCTTTTTTTTTTTTTTTTTTTTTTTTGAGACCGGTGCTCAGCCAGTGAGTGCACAGTGCACGGCCATCCCTATATAGGATCCGAACCCGCAGCAGGAGTGCTGCTGCGCTCCCAGCGCTGCACTCTCCCAAGTTCGCCACGGGCTCAGCCTGTGATCAGCTTTTTAAAACACAAACAGAATAGAATTGAAAACATCAGAGTATGCCGTGTGTTATAAATATTGTTTTGTGAAACATTTGTTGCTATTATGTATATATGTCTGCATGTCCTAGGTTGTGATATGTCTGCATGTCCTAGGTTATTTGTATATCTTGCTGTGGGTCATGGTCAAAAAAAAATAATATATAAGTTTGAAAGCTCCAGATATATTGAAGAATTACCAAACAGCTGGCACCGTTCTAAGCACCCTACATGTATCAACTCATTGAATCCTATAATCCTCTGAGGCTGGTACTGTTATAGCTTCCATCTTACAGATGAGGAAACTGAGGCATATAGAGGTTAAGTAGCTTGTCCAGGTATCCTGATAGTGGGAGGTAGAATCTTAAAAGTGCTATACTGCCCCTAGCAAGCATCCGTCTTGGTTATAGACTGCTGCTGCCTCCTCTCCCAGCCCCCAGCGACCAGCCAGCCAGTGTAAGCCATTGGAGGACAAGGGGCAGGGCTCCACCCTGGGAGGCCACTGCTGGCTGGCAGGGTTGGCAGCAGTGGTCTCAACAGCGGCTGTAAGCAGAGGCGCCCACAAGATGGCACTGTGGTTCTTGCAGCCTCCTCCGCTGCAGGACCTGGGAAGCTGGGCTCATCCCTGGGGCTTTCCCTTAGGTCTGCAGGGCTGGATGCAGGGGACAGGGCCCGGGGACAGTTGCACTCAGGACCGTGTGTCCAAAGACATCACGACTGGAGGGAGGCACCTTGAGGGAAAAAAACAGAGAGAGGTGGTGGGCCACGGATTAAATCGATAGTGAGTTTCTCTCCGAATGGCAGTGTTCCTCTAGTATCTTTGTTTTGTTTCCATCTTGATGCTATTTTTTTTTTTTTACACTCTTGCAGAACAATTGGAACTGTGACTTATGTTTCGCAATTCAAGGAGCTGGTTTGATGTTCTGTTGTGATTCATGTTCTGTCATCTTTCCAGCGATTGATTACACAGTGTCCTCTTGAATGTCATGGCTGTGATGTGGGTGAGCATGCGCTGCCACGCTCTTCAACCCCTTAACGCAAGGCCAGTGCCCTCAGTAGACACAGACAGGCTGGGGCACTGGGCTGGTTCCATAGTTAGGGTGAAGCTCCTCACGTGTTACTTCCCATTCAGGACTGGTGGCACAGATTCTTCTTGTCAGAGCAAAGCCTGCAGCTGCAAGGGGCTGGGGAAGGAATCAGGGCCCTTCTTCCTGCCTCCCTTACCCTCTGACAGTGTTTCTGCTCTCTGTCCTGGACAGGAGGCAGCTGTGGGGCAGAGAAGTGAGCCCTGGGCCCAGAATTGAAACTACTTCTTCACCAGGCTCTGCCTCTAACCCAGTGAGTGACCTTAGGCAGATCGATTAACCTTTCTGGCCTTGTTCCTCATCTGTATGAGGCTCTAACAATGTTGTCTCTATAGAAAAGTTAGGAAGCTTCGTAATAATGAAACGATGGCCAGCACATCTGTGGTTCTTACCACATGCTCACGCTGTTCCAGCACTTTATGTGTTTTAATTCATAGTAAGTGGAGTACTATTATTAATCCTGTTTTACAGATGAGAGAAACTGAGGACCCAAGAGAGTAAATAAATTACCCTAGATCATGAATCAAGCAAGTGGCAGAGCTGGGACTCAAACCCAGGAAGACTGACCCCAGAAAGTATGTCCTCAACAATTCAGCTCTATTGTGTCTTTAATATTATCTGTAGGGTTGGCCCATGGCTCACTCGGGAGAGTGTGGTGCAGGTAACACCAAGGCCATGGGCTCGGATCCCGTATAGGGATGGCCGGTTAGCTCACTGGGTGAGCGTGGTGCTGACAACACCAGGTCAAGGGTTAAGATCCCCTTACCAGTCATCTGGAAAAAAAAAAAATTATCTGTAGATGAGAGTTAACACGTACAAAAGCCTTTGAATAGGTACATCTTAATGTAAATTTAGTCTTATTATAAGCTTTTTCTCTTGTGTAAGTCAGGACTCTTCAGTAGTTGTTAGGAACCAACTCAAAACCAGCTCGTGAAAAGGGACTTACTAGCTCATATAACTGTCACGTTCAAGGATGCAGCTAGTGTAGGCAAGACAGGATCCAGGGGCTCAGATACTGCTGTAGAGCTCTGTGGGGCTTTCTAACACTTGTTTTATTTTTCTTGGCATGTTGGTATCATTCTCCATGTGGTTGGAGAGATGGCTACTGCCAGTCACAAGAAGACAAGCTTTGAGTTGACAATCTCAAAAGAGGAAGGTCGC